GAAACGGAGCGTGCCATTCTGGAAAGTGTCAATCGCTATCCTTTCATTGTCAATTTGTACTATGCGTTTCAAGATCATGAAAAGCTATACCTCATCCTGGAGTATGCGCAGGGCGGCGAGTTATTTACTCATCTAGCCATGGAACGCATGTTCACTGAAGATGTTGCAGCGTTTTATATGGCGGAGCTAGTCCTTGCTCTTGAACACCTTCACCACAATATCGGCGTAATCTATCGTGACCTGAAGCCGGAGAATTGCCTTTTGGACACAGAAGGCCATCTTCTCCTTACAGATTTCGGGCTTAGCAAGGTAGCCTTGAACGGTGAAGACCGTTGCAATTCGTCTCTGGGTACTGTTGAGTACATGGCACCGGAAGTCATCCAAGGCAAGCCATACGGCAAAGCATGCGACTGGTGGTCCCTTGGTGCCCTCGGTTTTGATCTCTTGACTGGATCTCCTCCCTTTAAAGGGAATAACAACGCAAGAATTTCAGAAAAGATCATTAAGCAGAAGCTAGTTCTTCCATATTTTCTTGGCCCGGATGCGAAAGACTTGCTTACTCGTCTACTTCGCAAGGAACCAAACAAGCGCCTTGGTTCCAACATGCCCAAGGATATCAACACCATCAAAAACCACCGTTTTTTCCGCAAAATCGACTGGAAAGCTCTCGAGAGGCGTGAACTCGACCCACCAATTCGACCTGTAGTCACAGATCCCGCACTAGCCGAAAACTTTTCGGCAGATTTCACGACTTTGCCTCTCAGTCCAGTCGTGACAAGTAAAGGTGGTTTCCGGGACAGACTGAGCAAGGCTGAGGAAGGATTCAGTGCTGGCGGCCCAACCTATCCAAGGCCCATGGAGTCTAATGCCGCAATTCATGATGACCCATTTGGTGGATTCAGCTTTGTTGCTCCGAGCAGCCTGCTTGATAGTGAATATAACTGCGGAAGGGGGTGCATGGCTTGACTATATGGCAGTATTGGGGAAATGCTAGCTATCGTCTTTCAAGTGCAATATTTGTGCCGGGTACTGTTTGCATTCAAGCTCTTAGGAGCTGAGTGTTATTATATATTGAAACAAACTGGATCGATACGTGCCGTTTAGCGGATTTGTGGATTGATAGACATGACTCGGGTTACTATGCCAACCTTGCTAGAGTCACACGGCGTTTTTCCTTGATTCTTGCCTACGATGGATGGGTCTTATAGTTTTATCAAACATCTATGTCCTGTATTTCTTGCCTGAATCATCAGCGTTAATATTCTTATTCTTAGAAGCCCCATTTGTTCATAAATACCTTTAAGGATCTTACTGTTTAATTTTATGTTGAGACTGGGAGATGCCAAACGCACCCGCATCGGTGACCGTTGATAAACAAATCGTCCTCAGGATAGACTCGAACCGCGCCCATTGGTGCTTGTGGTAATAATATGTATGTATGTACAAAACCAATCCCATTGCCAGATATGTTACATCCCAAAACATAACAATTCAAGATCACAAAATTCGACTCTAAGGGGGTGGGGTATATATAGATCCAAAAAGTTCCCTCAAATACTCCATAGATATGCTGAATATCCGCTCTTAAAAGAAGAAAAAAAAGAAAACGCTCAGTCTGAGCCTGCGGCACTGTTGACAATTAATGCATCCTTTTCCCTGCGGATTCGACCTCTGGCGCGTGTTAGATGGCCGTCGAGCTCTCGATCAACTTCTCTCTCCGACAAGCCCAAGTCGAAGAACATTCCCACACACCAATCTAGGACAGACGTTACACCTTCAGCAACATCATTAGTCGAGGACTTTTCGTGCTTATTTTGTTCACTCAGGGCGCCCAGTGCAATTGTTCGGACCACACTGAGGTCTGGCATAACTAGCTTCCGATCCCTCCATGCGTGCCAGTGCGATTTGAAATAAGGCTCCACCCCTCCAGCCTCCGGATCCAGGTGCGATGAGAAGTAAAGTGTGGTATTTCCTCCGGAATTAATGCGCTGCGCACGCGGTGTTGCAGGGTACATACACCACTTGTCGTATAACTCTCGACCAGCGATACAGCCGTGGACTTCAACCACGGCGGATAGCAGAGTACGGAAGGCGTCGGCGGGTATGTAGCAGAGCGGGTCGATTTGGCCTTGCCATTTCAACTTGGCGGTTTCGCAAATATGCGAAAGTGAAGGTGACCCTATGGATTGGAAGATGTTTTGAAATTGATACAACATCTGGTCGGGAATGAAATTGCGCTCTTTCGAGAAGTCTTCAATATCGAATTTTTCCCTCTAGCAATAATGTCAAGATCTGTTTACCTTGACGTAAAGTTTGATCGTGGTTCTCCTGTGAAGTGAACTGGGTGAACCGGTCAGAGGGTTGATCCAACCGTATAATGGCGGCTGCGAGGGATGCGACATTCTTCGGCTCCCATAGAATGCGTTTAACGTGGCGAAGATACATTAGTAATTCCAGAGTGTGCTTCCACTGAAAGTTTGCTATCCTGTAATCTAGCAAAGGGTGTAAGATATTTTCGGGCAATGGCCGAGGCAGACTTTCTAAAACGTTGGAGAGCAGGGCAGAATTTTTAGTTTCGGTCGCAAAATGAATCAGCGCAGGAGATAGAACTTCATCGCTGTACATGCCAGTAGAAATTATAGGCCCCACGGATTCGCGTGGATTGACCATCCAAGATGCTAGGCTGAACACCTTCGAGTCAGTCAAAAGATTGAGGAGAACGGCGAGCGAAGAAGAGGGAATCTGAAGCCCTGAAAACAATGATGTTTCTCTGCTAAGCTTCGACGAGAAGCTAAATTTCGTTTTCCGCACGTTATGGGCCTTTATAAGATATTTGGACTCCAGGATTGACTGACGGATCATGAGGACCTTGTTATAGTCCACAGTTCCGACAAGTTTTTCCAAAACGTCGATTGTCCCCGAGATGTGACCGGTTGCAGCATACGCATTCAGAGTATAATGATATAGACCCAATATAAACCCAGAGTTTCTCGGCATGGCTCCCTTTCGTAAGAGCCTGAGCAGTTCCTCAAGTGAGATATCAAGTTCATCAGCAGTCGCCATTGAGGGAGCAACATTTAGGAGCAGGTCCAGAGACTGAGGTTTAACTTCAACCACAATACCTCCCGCCTCTAGGATCCGCATAATCAAGTAGTTGACTAGTCCAGAACGGACTGTAAGCTGGTTCTTTTGTAATATGCCGCGAAGTAAGCCTAAGCGCTCCCAGACTTGTCGGACCGAATCACCCCTAAAACTGACACCGGTCCTAACAGTGTTGGCAAGCCCGTCCATCACAGCAAGAACGACTTCATGGGTAATAGTTCGTTCTCCCATCCCTAAGAACGGGCCTTTGGCAATTTCTCGTCCCGGCGATGTTGCGAATTTCCCACAATGTTCCCAGGTGTCCTGATAGTCTATTTTTCGGCGATCAACGGGACCGTTTATCTTGAGTAAATTGGCGAAACTTGCCACTTTCCATTCTTTAGAGCGCTTTCGTACGTGTTGTAAGATCCACGCAGCTTCTCGAGCATAACCTCCTTCCACGCAGCACCAAAGGACCAATTCGAGCCAAACCCCGAATCCTAGTTGTCGCTCTGAGGAGCGTAACAACTGCATAGATGGTCTTTGACCTGTCGAGACGGCTAGCTTCTCCATGTTTGCTTCCAAAATAGTATCTGTCAGCGTGCTCATAATACGTGTTGTCAGAAGATGAATGATCGGCGGGCGTAACGGCGATATTTCTCCCCCATTCGGTGCCTCCTTGTAAACGTCTTTTGGGATATAGCCTAGATTGTGTAAACGGGCAAGGATGGAATAAAACTGCCGCATTACCGCCCTTGATTCATCGGGAGGCAAATCCGCAGCTTCAATAATGAAATACCCAAGGGTCTGCCATAATTCCTCCATGGTCCCAACCCGAAGATTTGTTTCTCCCATTCGAGCTCCTAGAACGGGTTCTTCGGAATATGAATCGTACGACTCTAGGGTCTGATAATTGGCTTCTTCCTGAACTGAGAGAGATAAGGTCGGATACCGTTTATCCTCGGTGATCTCGTCAAACGATAGCCCCGTTTCCCCCCAGTTTATATTTGACGGCAAGCCACCCAGATCTGGATGTTTCGACCGCAATGCCTCCATGTTATCAAGCAATTTATCAACGAGGGCTCTGACAGCTTGCCATCTACCCAGCTTGAGCCCCATATACGTCAGGAGATCAAAATTCATCAAAGATCTGGCTTGGAAAAGCAGCTGTAAAATGGCCTGGCATTGTTCTGGCTCATTTGGCAATTCATCTTCCGGGGTGTCGGTATGATGCGCCCGCAAGTCTGCCGGGAGATATTTGTCTAAAAACACAACCCATTTTGCAATATCAGTTCGCTCCGATCGAGGAACGGGACAGGGAATCCTCGTCGCACGGGAACGGGAAGCTCTGGTGATGTAGGGATGGACCGGAGAGCTTTCGGCAGAGGAACCGGAACGACCGAGTTTCGTGTTGAAGCCTCTAGCAGGCAAAGGTATGCGACATCGCCGATTAGACAAACGTAGCCAGGAGCCCGGGAGGATTCTTCCGCCTGGCCGCAAGCAAATGATCATGACACGACGGGAGGAAAAATTGTAGGAGAACGCCCCTGCTGAACTAAAAATCCACGCTCAATTGACATGCCTGAACCATGGCTAGCCCAAGAGCACAGTGTTATACACCTGTAGACATCAACGGGTCGACTAGAGCGCTGTCGGCATATCAATGCACGGAAGTGCTTTTTTGAGAAAATTGGACGCCGCTTAGCTAATCATCAACGATCAGATAAGATTACCAAGCATCACGTGGGTGCTAAGATCGCTGAGTCAGCCACAGGCCAAAGCCAGCTCTAAAGAAGGCCCTCCAGGAATCTCCAAGCTGTTCAACAGCGGCATCAAGAGCCAGCCAGGTAGTATGTACTGTGCGCAAAGCATAACTCCAATGATTATTGACAAAGAAGTGCCATGACGCTCTTCAGCTATACTCAAAAGTCCTAGAAACAATAGACAAGGTATCAAACACGAACCCAGTGCCCAGCCAAAACATACTGTACTCCAGGCTATCATGAATCATAAACCATTAGGGCAACTTGACATACAGGGTTGCCCTGACCATTCATTCCGTTTCCATTTCGTCCGGCTGGTCAATCTCGTCACCGCCCAGCTCCTGTTCAACCTCGTCAACAATGAAATTCTCATAGTCCTCCAGGCCCTTCTGGATATGGACTTTGAATCGGATAATGTCGTTTAACATGCTCTCGACGCCAGTATGGAGCTCCTCCCGCAAGGCGTTTGCTCGTAGCACCAGCTGCTCGTACTCGATGTTAGTATTCATTTCCCTCTGCTCCATCAGCTGGACACTCTCCGTCAAGCTTGCGCGCATCTTCGCAAGCTCCTTTTCCATCTTTTCAATCTGAGCGTCCGACGCCAATTTCTGCGTTGTTGTAATTTCTTTTGTCTTTTCGAATTCTTCCTCCCGCTGCGCGACGTTTATGTTCCAAAGCTTCAACCTCGCTGCGTTTTTCTTCCATGGCCTCCTTGATGTTATCTAGCAAGTCTCGACGATTCATATCGTCGTCAAGCGCTATTTTTCGTCTTTCGTAGATATCTTTCCGCAGCGCCACAAAGTTATTTCGAACAACACCTCGGAGATCCAGATTGATCAGATTAGCTGGGCTATAGCCAGTGAAGGCATCGGCAAGAAGACGGTCACCTTCCGGGGAGCCTCGATTTTGCGATCTGCCAAGTTGCGATGACGAGAAATTGTTCTGATTGACGTTGAGATGTAACTCGTAATTATCCTGTTTGGCGTTCGTAGCGGCAGAAGGGATCAACCCAGTTTGATACGCAAGTGTGTTGTATGTTTTCACCACGTCTTCTAATTCTTCGAGTTTTCGATTGGCCTCCGCTTCTTTCTCCATGACTCGTGCATGCGTCTCTTCTAACCTGACGAGAATGTCTTCAACACTCTTTTGAAGACGATCACGTTCCGAGTTCATACGGTCAATGTCCTGGATCGTGATTCCCTGCTTATCAACGCTTGATTGTAGGTCAAGCCGTTCCTCTTCCGCGCTTTGAAGTTCCCCGTCAACTTTCTTAACCTCCTCTTCTAGTAGCTTGATCCGATTGTCATATTTTTCAATTTTCCCCTGAACATTTTCGTTATAATCTTCAAATTTTCGCTTGTCATCCTCAAGTATTTTAAAGTGCTTTTCCAACTTTGCCATATCGGGTGCGTTTTTCTCAAGTTCTTCAATTTGATCGCGCAATGCTCGATTCTCCTCTTCTAGTGCCTGCATTTCTTGGATATACTTTTCATTTCCGCGCTCAAATTCAGCAGCCATGGCCTCAACATGTGGAATCAGCCTCTTTTCTGCCTCTGCATCATCTTCATCCTCGCCTCCCTGTAGCCAGTCATGATAGGCGCCGGAGAGAAAGCGGAAAATGATGCGATCTCCCGTGACGTCGACGCCGGCTTCTGCACACGCATAGTCGTATTGGTCCATAAAATATCGTTCCAACATTTGTGCCAGCTGCATCATCCAATGAAGCATGCCCAAAAAGGTTGGCCAATTCTGGCCGCCGACTGCAGCAAGTTGGGATTTTGTAATACTTTTCTCAAAAGGGTATCGTAACTGCTTCAAAATCGGCGGTACTTCAGAGTCTATACTTTTCTGAAACTTGTATCCTGGGTCAATCCTCCTATATAACCACTGGAATATGTAGTTGAAGTCCTTCTGAGTCGGCGACCTGAGAGTATTTTGCGTCAAGGAGTGTTTCATTTCAAGCTCAAAATTGTTTTGTGTCAAATACTCCAATATTTCCTGACTTATCCTGGCTTGGAAACTTCGGTCTCTCAGAGGACGGGGGTCACGGGGGACTCCCGCTGGGACAGGCGTTTGGGCAAAAAAGGACTGGTGCGGTGCAGGTCCCATCGAGGGCCGTGACAGAACGCTACTTCGTCGTTGCAACTGCGGTGGGGGAGGTGGAGGAGGCATAGACATCGGAGCATAGCTCTGTCTGCGCGCGCTGGCGCTGTTGAAGATATTGCTAGATACAGAGCGTCGCACGGACGACAGTGCACCGTCGGCCCCAAAATTCCCCCCGGAAGAGGCCCTTTGAAACACTGGCTGCTGTAGCCGGCCGGCAGATTGGCCGATAGATGTAGCACGCGCATTCTGCGATGTATAGGAAGGATTTTGGAGGTTTGCGACAGAGCTGGTCCGTTTCAGAGCGGAGGACGGTTGAGGGAGGGATGAGAAATTCTGGACGTTTCCCAGAGTCTGAGTTAAGGTCTACATTAGCTTCCCATTGATGGAATGGCATGTTTAATGGACTGCGACTGTACCTCGCGTGGCCGCCGTATGCTAAACAGCCCCGTGTCTTGCGCCATCGTCAAAAAACAAGAACTACCAGCTCAGCACTCGCAGCAGTCCGGATAACACAGTATAACTACAGGCCATAAACGCCTAGCTTGGTCAATGCCAAAAAGAATCGTCACCACCGGAAAAAAAGACGGGCTGCCCTCCTGGCGTTGCTTCGACACTCTTCGTTGATCGACGTAAACAAACTTATCTGTTACATAATCTGCCAAGGCTTTATCTTACATAACACACCTCGTCACGGGACCACCGGCTAAGATCCAGCCTCGGCATTGGATTCCTTGGCACGGCCTTTCTCTTTCGATCTTTTGGGATCGCAGTCACAAGCAACGACATCGAGGGTGTCGATTCGGATGAAAGCCTTTTCAACGTCCGTTTAACCGCTTGTCAGAGCTCGAATTTGCTGTGATACCCGTGGCATGAGATAGCCAGTTTTGGCAGCTCAACTCGCATCTACCACAATGGCTCGCGAGGAGCTCATCTCCTCTGCAGTATGTATCGCTGTTGCTTGATTCTCCCTTGCTATCAATAGCTACTAATGCCTTTCTATTAGGTCACCTGTACGCATTCTGTCAAGTCCCTTATTCTGAGCCGGAGTACCTCCAATACTAACTAAACATTGCCTTTTCGCAGTCCTCCAAGATCCCTCAGTGGCCTCCGCGCCCTTGGACAAAAAGATTGCTTTCCTGCAATCCAAAAACCTCACGAAAGAAGAGATTGATATTGCTTTTGCGAGAACAGGCGAAGAGAAAACTTCTACGCCCGTCGTGTCGAATCAAACCGGCGGATATGCACCCCAGCAGCCTCGACAGATTGCTGTGAATCAGGGCTATTCCTATGGACCGAATTCATGGCAGCTCCAAGCACCTCCGCCAGAGTAAGTCTTGGAGCCGAATCACGTGTGCATCAAGTTCTCTGAGTTTAAGACTAACAGACCATTCTTTGGCTAGGCTTCCCAGACGGGATTGGCGAGACTGGTTCATCATGGCGACAGTGGTTGGTGGTGTTGGTTACGGTCTGTACGTTGTAGCAAAGGTAATTTCTCCCATGCCCTCTTCAATTCCACACTAATGATAAAAATAGAGGTATATCGCGCCACTGATAGCACCTCCAACCCCACCTCAACTACAACAAGACAAAGAGAGTATCGACGAGCAATTCTCGCGAGCATTCGCACTGCTAGACCAGTTATCATCAGATACATCAACACTAAAGGCCACAGAGGATGCACGAACGGAGAAGCTGGATACTACTCTACGAGAAGTAGAGGACGTAGTTACAGAACTGAAAAGCTCCTCTCGTCGACGAGACGACGAAACCAGACGTATTGCCGAGGAAGTCAGAAATCTAAAAGACGGAATTCCGAAGGCGATTGAAGGCTCAAGGGAAGGAAACGAAAAGCGCCTCAGAGAGCTGGGCGCGGAGTTGAAGAGTTTGAAACTCTTACTCGGGAACCGCCTGGGCGCCAATCCCAGTGCTGGTGCGACCCTTGCAAGCCCAGCCTCGCCAAATCCGGAGACAAATGGAGCTTCAACTGGCGCTCAAGCACCACCAACTAACCCCATCTCCTCCCCCGCTCCACCAAACTTCTTCGCATCAGTACCTGCACCTAAAGATCCATCGAAAAGTCCATTCGCTTCACTAGGTAAACCCGCAAGCATCCCTGCGTGGCAAATGGCTGCCACAAGCAAGTCGAAGCCTGCTGCATCGACGCCCCCATCCACCGACGATGTTGAGGGGAGCTCTAGTGCCGGTGCAGATACTACTACAGCCAACGCCCCCCCAAGCTAGAGCTAATTATCTACGAGTACGCCAATTTGACAGGCCATCGCCCGCGTGGAAGTTCGTTTGATTATGTTGCATTTTTTTGGACATTCTTAATTCATTTTCTTGTGCATTTCCGGTTTTTGTGACATGTATTATCCCGCTGCAGCGCATCAATTGAAGGATGCCTTTGAGCTTTTTAATTCTAAACAACTTTGTCTTCAATGGTCCAGAGTTGGGCAACTGTTCTCCTAAATATATGCAAAGCTATTATATTGGTAGTCTCTATGAATCAACGAGTCATGAAGTCACTTATCAAATTTCTCGTTACAGTAGAGCGGACTGCGTTGCCCGTTCCGGCGCCAAGAAACGATTAAGCTTCCCTGCCCAAGTTCCGCCCGCATCCCTGTCTCCGCAACCGCCATTTTACAATCGCGGACACTCCGCACCGGTCGCCTTTTTTATGATCATTGATACAGAAGTAGAACACCATGGATCGGTCAAGACGCTCAAGACCCTCGTCGCACCAGCATCGTTCTCGCTCCCGTTCTCCGCGCAGGCAAATTGGCCGCCATGAACACCGTCGCAGGCGGGATTCCTCTCCCAGAAGTGCTAGGCCCTCCGAGCCCACACTGCCATCCCTACCTTTCGGCGCAAGCCCACTATCAAAGCGCGACCAGAGTCACTATGAACCTATGCTTGCCATGTACTTGGATATTCAAAAAGGCATCGATCTAGCCGAACTCAGTGAGCGGGAAATCAAAGGGAGATGGAAAAGCTTCATGGGAAAATGGTAACTATCCTTCTGTCTCTTTCTGCTTGCCTTGGAGATATATACATATTGTGAAGCCATGTGCTGACGTAGTTGAGGAACCGTGGAGAACTCGCAGAAGGTTGGTACGATCCAAAGACCCTGAATAAAGCTCGAGACGCCGGCATTAGCAGAGGCCCGTCCGAGGCCCGTAGCCCATCGCGCGCTTCTAGCCATTCAAGAGCACGGCCCGCCGTCTACGAGGAATACAGTAGAAGAACTCGTTCAATTACGCCTGGAGATGAAGTTTCCCGAGCTGGGACGCACCCCCATGGCTCACCAGGCCGGCCAGCATATGAAGACGAACGATTAGCAGACGGGGACGAAGACTCTGACACTTATGGACCCCAAATCCCCATCGAGCAATATACTCTATCAGAAAGTCGCGAATCACGGCGTATAGACAGGTCCGGTCCCAAGGTCCCGACCACACAAGACCTTCAACTCCGACGAGGTACGAATGGAAACACCCCCCCCTGCCCCCCTCTCACATCCCATCCCCAATATATCTATCTAACAAAAACAATCCCCACCGCAGAAGCGCAACTCTCCTCTGCCCAAGAAGCCCGTGAAACCCAACGCCTCTCGCACACCCAGTCCCTAAAATCCCACAAATCCGAACTTCGCCATATCGCAGACGAAATCACCCCCCGCGCCGAGCCGGGGACCCGCGAACGTCGTCTCGAAAAACGCCGCGAGGCCGCCTCGTCGAACCGAGCGTTTGCAGAGTCTCGTCGCGCCGCATCTCCCGGCGAGGCTCCGGATGCAGAATTGATGGGCGGCGAGGGTGATCTTGACACGCTGAAATCCGAACGTGAGAAGGAAGTGCGTAAGAAGAATGAGAGGGAGATTAGGAAGGAAGAGATGCTGCGTGCAAGGGCGGCAGAGCGCGAGGAGAGACTCAAATCCTATCGCCAAAAGGAGGAGGAAACTATCTCTTATCTTCGTGCCCTTGCGAAAGAGAGATTCGGATGACTGTGCTATCTTAATGCGCTCTGCTCCCGGGTTTATGTGTGATTTTCGAAATTGACCCCGTTGAGAGAGCTGCCGCATTTACCTCTATATGGTAAAAGTTTGAATTAGTGATGGCACAACGTCCGAAGCTGCAGTTATTCACCCACCATCAGCACGCAAATCATCCTCAAGTCACTTCCCTTGGTTACTCCGTAGACTCTTCAGTTTTGTAGTTCTTTAGCACATTATCAGCGCTTTATCTGCTCCGTACTGACTTGTGGGATTCTTTTTTGTAATATATTTTGCATTTTCGCTATATATACCTTTCTAAGATCAATACTAATGATCATACTACTCATCAAGTCATTAAAGGTTCTAGGGGAATAGTTTTGTATGAAAAACAGCTTTCCGAGCTAGATCCCAAAGTCTTTCATACGATTTTATACTGAAGTGTGGGTTTTTTGGACAGAGTGAGAGTTTACAAGAGAGTTTAGGGGGTTATATTTGGCTGGGATGTTACCATTATTCTGATGACGACCGCATACCATCGGTGCCTGATTGGGTACTGGCGTTTGTTCTCATCTCCTTTCTCCTTCGCCAATTATTTCGGCGGCGGCGTCGCCGGTGTTTGGAGACATTCTCGCTCAGTTTAGCGGGCGGACGTTCGTTTGCAGTAACTCCATGGCCCGAGCTTTGAGACTCCTCCGATCCTCTGCTCGAGTTTTCAGTAGTCCCATTCATATTGATGAGACCTGCTGGTTCGCTTTTTGATAACTTCCGGCGGATGATACTTTTCGTTTTGTTATTCTCTATTGCTGATAGGACTTCATCCCCATTGAAGATATCGGCTTGTTTGGTTTTCGACGGTTCCTTCAAGGATGCTCCAATTGACTTCACATCGTTGTTCGGTCTCTTGTCTGGAGAAGTAAGGGTAGGCCTAATACCAGTATCTGGTTTAGCTTCTACTTCTGTATCTGGGAATTTCTCTTTTGTAGGGCCTGTGCGTATCTCCACGCTTTCTCCAGTGTCACTCGCATATCCACTAGGCGGGTGGTCGACATAGCGACTATTCAAAGTGTTGTGATTCGCATCAACTTGGATGTAATATGGATGTGAAAAGCCGGAACTATAATTTTGGAATGCTCTGGGAACGAACTCGGGTGCTTCAGGTTTCAAATTTCCGCTGGTATGATTCATGATTTTGGACGTTTTCGTCGATGAAGTCGCATTAAGACAGCGGCAGCAATGCTCGCACAAATCTTGGCCAATCGAAACCTGTGGTATTTGAGACGTTATAGAGCAGCTTCGTATATCCGGACGTTCTATTTTAGCGGCTTCGAAAGGACTTCTGGCTGTAGTAGATCCCGATTGCATTTGTGAACAAGTGATGTCCTCCACCGTCGTGTCAACGAAGCCTATATCATTGATAACGGCTTGAGGTGCCTTGTCCTCCAGTGTGTCTGTGTGAGAGAAACCTTGCCAACTGCACAAGCGATGATAGTAACCTTTTGCTCTCAAAAGTTGGGAATGACTTCCTTTTTCAACTATTTCACCGTCGTTTACCACCAATATCTGATCAGCATTCATGATTGTAGAAAGACGGTGGCTATGCAAGGAAGGTCAGTAATTACAATATGGCACCTGCAGTTGAAAGTGGCTTACGCGATAACAATTGTCGTCCGACCAGCGCAAAGTAGCTTCAGGCTTTTTTGCACGTGGGCTTCGGTCTCACTATCCACGCTGCTCGTAGCCTCGTCTAAGAGTACTACTTTCGGGTTTTTAATCATTGCTCGTGCGATGGCGACACGTTGTAATTCGCCGCCCGACAACTTCATGCCGCGTTCCCCAACCAAAGTGTCGTAGCCATCTGGAAAGCTCATGATCTTTTCGTGAAGGGCAACGGCTTTGCATGCATCCACGATTTCCTCGTCAGTAGCATCAAGTTTCGCGTAGCGAATATTGGCCATTATTGACTCGCAGAACAATATAGGATCCTGAGGAACAATACCCAATATTTCACGCAAGCTCTGAAGGGTTACACTTGAAATATCTTGCCCATCAATATTGACAACCCCAGCAGCGGGATCGTAGAATCGACAAAGCAGCTTCAGGATAGTCGATTTCCCTCCTCCAGTTTTGCCAACAATTGCGGTAGTCTGGCCAGGAGAAGCCTTAAAATTTATATTTCTCAGAACTTCCCTCTTGCCATCATAAGAAAATTGGACTCCTTTGAATTCAATGCAGCCGCGCTCGAAACTCAAGGGTTTAGCATTGAGGCTGTCCGCGACTGTCGGCTTTTGTCGTAGGAGTCTAAGTAGTTCTTCCGCGTCCACCATGTCTTGAACTGTATGTTCAAATCCGTTCGCTAGGGACTGAAGAGGAGACGATAACTGGGCCCAGTAGCTGAGCATCATGACAAAACTTCCAATGGGTTTGAAACCCAAGGAAACTTGATAAGCAGCGATCAAACAAGCGACCATAAGTCCCAACAGTAGGACAAAGGATTGAAGCGTATTTTCAATACAGCCCCAGATCCTAAGCCCAAACCGCGATTTAAGGTGCTCTCCGACAGCTGAATGATATCGATATTGCTCATGAGGAACGCGGTTGAAATACGAAACAGTCTTCCAATTAACAGTTGATTCACACAAGAGAGTAAATTCCCTTGTTCGCTTTTCGATCGACTCCCTCTGTTTGGTCTTTTGGATGTTAATTATTTTGTTTGATGTCCACAAAAACATCACGGTAACAGCCGCCGTTACCAGCGCCATATACGCATCAAAAAGATAGTATAGAATGCTGACAGCCAATACCAGATCTATCATGGTGGGAATGACAAGGAAGCAAATGTGGTTGACCACATCCTTGACATATTGGCCACGGATAATAGTTTGCCAGACCGCACCGGAAGCTTTGCTGTCATGGAAGTCGCACGAAAGAGACATAATATGGTTGAATGCCGTTGTGCTAATTTTCCGGTACGAAAGGTCTTCAAGTGGCATCCACATAAAGGATCTAAGTGCCGTTAAGCCACCGCTCGAGTCAAGAAATCGAAGCGCAATAAATATTGCTATTTCTTTCCAAGGGACCACCCCTGGATCACACTCGATGAATCAACCAAAATGTTTCATACGAAAAGCAGGGTGTCAGTGCTTACCGTCAGACTTTGTCAGGAGATTTGTTATCAGCCCAAGTTGTAGCGGGATAATTACGTTCATGACACGTTCAACTACCAGACACCCCCCAATACCTACGTAGAGCAGCTGGCGGCCAGGCTCACCTGAAGGCCAAAAGAATGGTAAAAAAGCCTATTGCCCGAATTAGGTGCCATATGCCTTTCGAATACAGAATACGTACCCTGAGAAACTCTACGATATCCCATAAGGTCTTCCGATCCCCATCATCGACGAGATCATCCTCGGGACTAAGATCACTTCTACCATTCGTTTTGGACGACGCATCGACGTCAGACTGAGCTGCCGAATTATTCTCGCAAGAACCGTATGTTCCCTGTATGGGCCGTGGTTCTCCCTGCGCTATTAATAGGGGCGTATTCTCCTCGTCTCTCCCGCCTTTTCCCGTTAGCACAAAGCGTGAGCCAGAAGCTGTTAATATAAGCGTAACTAGCAGGGAGAGTCGAAAGGTCCCTATTAAAACCTCTGAGCTTGTACGAGGAAGTTGTAGCCTCAACGTAACCAGAAGAAATAAAACTTCAGCCGCCAAGTACATCGCCCAAGTGCCGTAGAACGGGTACGCTGTGGGTGCTGCTGAATCGATGTACCACAGAAGATTCACAAACCAGAGGAGACACGATGCCCAGGAGTAAAACTGCGAAAAGAGTTAGCTGCCCTTTTACAGTACCATTTACTACAGTGCCTGTCACTCACGAGCTTTCCATTTACAGTCGGGGAACTTGCTCCTGGGGCAGCCCAAGCGGTTAAAATCACAGCATCCGCTGCCTATCCCGCACAGAATCGTCAGTACTTGGCTGCATAACAAACGAGGATCCCAGCGGCGACTCACATAGCAAAAGAACACGGCTGCCACAAAGCAGCCGATCATGAATCGCCAACGCCATGCGGATCGACCCGATTTCGCCTTTTCGTCTGAAGGACGTACGGCTCGAATGCAAGTTGCAATAAAGAAAAACGAAGCAGAAACGGCCGGTAAAGCGGAGTAGAGGACTTTAACCAAGGCCAGCTCGTTCTCAGAAGGGACGTGGGCCATGCCGAAATGTGCACTCCGTGCGTGATATCAGAAAGCAAGTCAGAACGCCAGAGCACAACATGGATGTCCTCGTCTACGAGGGCCTCATTGCCAGCGCAGGTCGAGTGTCGTTGATGGCGCGAAAGACGGAAACGGCAAGAGCAGACGTTGGACAGCCAGATCAAGCAGGAACGACGCGCAAACTGGGTCATGTGCTGTTTTGGGAAGGCACGGCAAACAACAGGGAAAGAGCAAGGCGTAGACGGCCGTAACAGGAAGGAAGCAGGCGCTACATCAGCAACAGGCGGCTCTTCGCAACACACGCAGCACAACAGCCTCACGATCTCTATAAAAATCCGTGTTTGAGGCGAAAAACGAACAAATGGACCAGGCTGGACGGCGTCTGCGGTTCCCCCGGGCGCGTTGCCTTCGCCGCTGGCTGATCAGATGAGAAGAGTGTGGCGTTCTTTGTCGAGGAGAACGCTGCGTTCCCACCCCTTTTCTCTCTCGGTTCGCGCTCTCCTCTTCACCGGGCTGAAGCGACGGGAGGGAAAGAAAAGACGAAGGAATGTAACGACTGCCGCAGCATTGAAAAATTTAATATTTATAGCACTAGGCTGAGAGGAGATCCCATGCCAGCCTCTGCAGCTAGCCCAGCAATCAGGAACGGCCGGCGAAGTGGCAACAAAAGCTGACTAGTTCAAGGGTCTATTGGAGCAGGAATGCAAAAGGGATCATTTTTGCTGATGTGTCCAGAACTTCCGCATCACTGATCGAAGCCCGGGGGAAGCAGAGCATCGAAGCCCCCCGAGAAAGTCACGCAGGGTCAAGAAGCCATCGCATCCAATAGTGTTGGGATGCTGAGAGCTGTTAAGTTACACTTCTAGCCGCGACACCCCGTCGAATCAACACGCTCTCAGCGAAATGAGAAATGCTTAACGATGGCAACTAAGTGGAGCGTGATGGACTCTATCCTTGCCAAGTTGCCAGCACTTCCTTTTCGCTGCAAGGTCGCCCAGTGAATGTTACTACCGGGACCCGGACCCCAAATAATATGCATGGCTCTCGTGTGCCTAGCGATGCCAGCAAGTGGAGAGCTTTCTCGAGAGGAGAAAGGGGAACGGTTGGGATAACTAGCTGTGGCGGCTGGCCAAAATTTATCACCAAGCACAGGACTTGCGAAATCGGAACTGCAGGCAAACAATACGGAGAAGTTATTAATCGTGATCTCAACAGAAGGGCACGAGACCAATTCTACCTCCAAAGCCCAGCAACCCTAATGAGGACCAGTATTTGAGCTACTCTTTGCAAGCACACAGGGGATAAATGGGGTTTCGCCATGTGATGACTGTTTTGATGCTCTTTACCACAAAGAACAGGAGCAACAAGCGAGATCCACGGAAAAGTGTGAGCTATTGAAGATCAAGCACAATCAATTATCTTTCAACCCATCTGCAAGTTCCGATTGATATCCTTTCTTCTGGAACCACACCTTATTGGAAGGAACTAGCTTTTGGCACCGGATGAACAGAGGCAAAATACCCGTTTCTCTTGTGGAAGATACTCATCAGTCCAATGGCCAAGGAAACAGCTGAGCTCTCGGGTGCTGGGAAACAAACCCTTTCTCGGCTACTTTAACCTGGGATCTCCAGCATCCGAGGCCTTGGGCGGTTACAGCAAACTCAGACAAGAAGTCCGCCTTCAGAGTACTCCATAACATGACAGAGCCTTGCATGTTGGGAACATGTAGCTATCATGAGAGTTGCCACGGGGTAGGACGAATGTGTCAAAAGAAATTGATGGCCGTGCCTCCAACAGTCAGATCTGCGACTTATCTGCCGCAAGAGACCGATAACAAGTGTCTCTATCTGAGTAACTACTGCTCGGACCGCTTGCCAACTGTTGCAATAGTCCAACCCACCTCAAGATTCTTTCGGATTCGGTCTAGAAATGTTTTAAATCAGCCATGGGTTTTGGGGGAGTTGCACCGATCATGGAAAACGGGGGAGCATCGTGGGCTATGCATGCGATCGCCACAGTGCCAAGTTCGGTCCTGTCGCACTTGGAGCTTGAAAGAATTAAGGCGAACGCAATGTCCTCGTGCTGATCTATAGATGCCGTTTCTGGAAACGTTGGATGTACAGATTGGCAAACTAAAGCGCCCGGGAACAACCTTAGAATAGACCCGGTTCTAATGAGCTGAATGATTTGGCCGTATCTTGTGCAGCAAATATCTTAACATGTAATAGAGCTTTACAGTCCCAAAAGAGAATGGGTCTCATATTCTGAGCAAGAATAATGAAAGGGCTCGGGTTAATCCTGGTGATTCTGCCGATATAACCGAGGATGAAATTAGTTGACAGCGCCTTGCATTGGGGTACTGTTTGAGTAGTGTGCAGGTTGATATAAGATCTAGTCAGGGAAGCCCGGATATGTATCTAGAGCTAACCATAGTTCCTTTATAGCTAGGCTTCCATCAGCATCTGCTTATAAGCGTGTTCTGGGATGAGAAATGGTGCTTTTTCCACAAGAATCTCCGTGTTGAGCAGCAATCAGCCCAAAATTAATGGCAGGTAGGTAGCGTTGCGCTTTTGAGGCTCCAAGGAAATACGGTGCGATTTGCTGGCTTTAGTAGATATGCGAGCGTGTTTGCTTTGACAAAACCCATCCACTTGAAAATATAGTGAGACGATAGTTGAAGCTCAGCTCTTACGTCCCAGATCCATGCTGGCTACAAGACGAAGTCGGGACTTCTCCTCGCTGCCAGCAGGTCCCGGAATGGAAATGTCGTGGCCGTTTGCACTTCCAATGCCAAAGAACGGATTGACCGCTACCTCCACTACTTCTTCAAACAGCGTCCCAACAACCTTGTCTTTGAGGTCGTCTCCTGTTTGTCGAAAGTCCGGGAAAGCATTCAGCTCCAACAACCAGACATCACCGTGATCGTCGACCAAGAAATCCACACCAAATAGTTCAAACGCATTGGGAAGCGTTTGAAAATGCACCATCATCCCCCGGGCTGCGGCCTCAAAGACCTCGCCGGTGACGGCGCAAATCTGCTCGTAAGCGCGCTCTTTCCAGCTGGAAGGCAGCGATGGAACGCTGTCGTCTAGATCCCAGAAGCGACGGACACTATCAGCACTGAGGCCACCGGCGCTGTTCGCCTGGAGACATGTGTTGGTCAAATGCCGGGTGAGTTCTTCAACTCCGCATTTCTCCCATGGTGTAGCATACGGCATTTCTGCGAACAAAGCTAGCATTTCTGTGTGGACGTAGACCTTCAAAGAGCCCACCGCCAGCACATATACACGAATATGAAATTTTCGGTTGTCCGATGGCAAGAGAAGGGGAGGATCGATATAGGGTTGGGCGATAAAATGGCGTAGCTGAGATGTAACAACCGCATTGTCGACAACGTGATCACCCTTTTCAGCTGTATCGTCCTCTACTTCATCGTCCTCTTCCTCTTCTTCCCATTCTTCAAATATGGCCTGCAAGGACGCTTCGCTGTTGAAAAGGCGGATCCCTTGTCCACGGTCGCTCATCCCAGGTTTCAAAATCCACCATTCCTTTTCGGATTCCTCCAGCTCCTCGTTCTTTTCAAGGCTCTCACGCAGTTCATAGGCCTCGAGCAGGGCTTCATCTAAAAACTCAGCATAGTCCAACTCAAACTCCACTGCGGGCTTGAAATGTTTCTGGAGTATGCTATCGGGGTGCTTTGTGATCCAATTTGCAATCGTGTTTGAGAGATAGTGTTTGCGAATGAGCGCTTTGCGAATCACGTACGAATTTACTAGGGACGTAGACGGATGGGCAAGTACATGATCGAAATCGGACTTTTCGTAAACGCGATATTGTAGGACTGGCGACGATTCGCTAGGGAGATTGGATAGAGACGATATCAACTGGTACGGCACTCCCTTTAATGCCTTCTGGAGAGCGTTAAGAACAAGGGGCTGAACATATTCGTCATCGCATTCCACAATCGCATGAATTTTAGGTATATCTCTTTCCCTGCGGGCAAAATAAAGGGGCAGTTAGAAGGTCCATTACAGGATACAGGCCAATTTGGGAATCTTTGGATGTGGCAAAGTTTATGCATGTCTATAATTTCTCAGAGAACGAATCTATGTTCTAAATCTCATCGAATGCCATCATCTGCATGCAGGATCCAGTACTCACAACGTTATCTCTCCAGTATAACCTTGTAAATGCATAAAATTTGCTTTTAGCGGAGTGACACTAGAGAGTTCATGGTCAGCATTTGGATATGGTAGATGTGGAGAGATGAATCTCGCCGGTGACTTGCACGTACCTGGTATATCCCATCTTCACTGCCCATCCGTCGTTTCCGGGTTCACTTTCATCAACACTCCGGTAAACATCGGTAAACTTAGGTGCCCATTTAAAATGTCTATGGCGATATTGTGGACCAGTTGGTTTCTCGCTCTCGTCCCGAGTCATCTCGCCTTCTCGTAGTTGCTGTTCCTGAAGATCTGGTCCCTCACCGCTAGCCTCCGCATCGATTGCTTCAAAGCAACTCCCCGATTTCCAACGATTATTCAATATAGGCGTGTACAGGATCTTTTCATGCTCCACTCCTGGCTCCAGGGGAACGTTGATACTATACAGGTCCACGCCATCGCCCCAGTTCTTGTAAAGATGCTCGATAAGACGGATGGATAACTTCGACGCCTCCGCAATGATCACAGGGTCATGGTGCCTGGAACTAAAAGCGAAAGAAAGGGCAACGGCTTTGACTCCACACACAGCTGCTTCCAGGGCTCCTCCAATTGTCCCACTCGACAGTGAAAATACCGCCGTAGTGTTTCTTCCGTAGTTCGGACCCGAGATAACAAGGTCTACGGGTCCCCTGTCCTGGTTATAATGGAATAATCCAATTTGAACGCAGCTGGCGGGGGTAGAGTCGACGAGCATCCATTCATCCCCCACACCACCGGTTTCGCCGTCGAATTCGCGCGGTAGATGGTGAATCGTCCCATCATCTTGGTGCAGTGTGCCTGGACGAAAGTACATTGGTTTCACGGTCGCTCCCACGAGATGCGCTTTGCCAATCCATGACCTTTGTCTGTGCGGGAGAACAACGGAGACGGCATGGCCTGCGGACTGGAGGTGATGGACGAGGGAATGGACATAAGGGGATGACTGATTCGATGGAGGGCCATCATCGTTGACAACCTAAGAAATGATCGTCAGTTCGCAAAGGCGACTAAAGCTGAGGGGCTCAAAATATCTGAATTCTTGCGGCGGGTTGGCTGCGGACGACCCCTCCTGGATCTCTGGGAAACTTACCAGGATATGCATGATACGATAATTCTGTCTATATGCTCAATACACCTGCTCAAGAATGAAACACGCTCGATGTAAAATGGGGAAAGAGGAGAAGGAATAATGGGGTGTTGGGCCGATATGCAGTCAATCTGGTTCTGGTTTTGATGTTTGACCTTATCAATCTTGAGAACTGATGTCCCAAGGTTTTCCCCGCCCACATAGATGCTGTTTACAACCAATGTGTTTGAGTGAACATGGTTCCGTCCAGCAAACATGCAGCATCAGAGGATCTCTAGTAGAGAGACTGATTTATAAAAAGACATCGTCTTTCTGATTGAATTGATATGTTTGCTATCTCTCACAACACAGCAGTCTTATGACGTAGGTATTAGATTGTACTATAATGTGAACGATGTTTGTCTAAGAACAGTTTCAGTCTTTGGGGTCCTTGATAACGGGGCTTTTCCGCCGCAGCATGCGCCGATGTCCTTGGATGTCCGCGTCTGATCTTGGTCTCGACTGTGTGCTGGCACTAGCTTCCCCTGCTTCGGTGGTGTTGCCCAAGTTTACAGGCATTAGAGGTTCGATCATAGTAGACTCTTCAATCTCTTCTTCTTCTTTGATTACTCTCGTTAGGGATCGTTCACGTTTTTGTATAATTTCTTCAGAAAGGCCGAAATGATCGTCATCTTCGCTTTCATCCTTGACTGAACCACCATTATCCTCAGATTCCGCCTTTTCGATTTCCGGTACCGTGTCTTCGAGAGCACTGGAAGAGCTCAGTGCCATCCAGACTGCAGAGGTTGCAGCTACTGATGTGAGCCAGAACATTGAACTAAACGTGACAAAGGATAGAATTCGCCAGTTATACATCAACCACCTATTTGACTTGTTAGCCGAAAAATCATTGATGCTGCTGGTAATTGCTAGAAAGCTAGAAAAGGAGGACGATGCCTGATCTGAATATAACATACCTTAACCCTGAGAATCTCGCATCAAACCTAATCATAGCTTTATAAAACTGCATACGTTCATCGCTTTCAATTTCTAGTCTCGCGGTTCCGGGGATATGCTTCCTTCCCTTCATAAATTCGACCCGCTCCATCATGGGAATTTTCAACGTATCCGCCTCGCGCTTCCAATTGAGCATGTAAAGCGGCATTCTCGAAATCCGTCGGGCAGTATCCACCAACCGCGAAGAATATGTCAATATAGCTGGTCTGCGCGACCGCATGATTGTGGAGCTCGACACATTTGCCATTGCGCCATGTGTTCCTTCTAGGAGAGCGAGGTCGACCATAAAGTTGCCTGCTGCAAGATTCGAGGGAGTACGCGGGAGGTAGAGAATCACTGTCACATCGTAGGCTTGGGAATGAGCTAGTTCGGGCCCGATAAGAGCGGAACCGGTGGGATGGCCGTCCCTATGAGCTTGAAATTAGTAATTTGAATCAACCGGGTTCCCAAATTTTGTAGGATGCTATCCAGGGGTCTCAGGCTTACCCGAACTGCAAATGCACCAGGCGCTCCAGGCTGATTTGAGGCACATAATTGTAATAAAAGACCCAATATGACACAATGGACACACCCAGGAGACTGAAAACCGTCACCAGGAAGAATAATGTTCCTAGGTACGCGCGTTGGGCGGATTTCGACGCGATTGCTTTGAACGGAGCAGTTATCGTTGCCTGGGAACGTCAGTTAGCTTGTGTGTGATAAGAGGCAACCTCCTCTCAAATCTCACCCTTAATGTGTCTTCTGGGGTTTCACTCCTTTGCGAATCTGATCCGGCCATTGCATGCTGTATTATGCCCTCTGCACCCTTGGAGGAGAGTAGTTACGGATCGTTGCATTGTACTCGCACCACGCGCCCACGGTCCACCTCTAGCGAACGCGTGGCGCGAGCACGCATGTGATATCATTTAGTTATGTGTTTGGAAGTTTGTCTTTTTACTGCCCAACTGCGCTGCCATCAGCAAGTACTAATGCCTAGGTCGGTCTATATATCAGATACTGTACAAGTCCTTTTCTAATTGTAATATAGCTTCATCACAGCCTTTGTAAATCTCATAGGATGATAAAATGCAATGCGCTCCAAAGCCACTCCGAAGCGATGAACCGACTAAGCAAGCTATAGGTACTATTGAAAAATTACTATCGGCAATGGCAAACAAACCCCTGATCATGCATGCCCTTCCAAGAACATAGAATATGTAACGAACCCAATGGACCATCCTTCCTTACCAGCACCGAGAAAATCAATAGAAACACAAAAACCGAGGGCCGAATACCAAGAATACAGTTCCCCGTTGCACAGTCGTTTCGTAAATAATCGTAGTCACGTCCCATCCATGTGACCTTTTAATGATGAAGAATCTAGTAAATTGGTCGAGTAAAGGCGGGAGTTTGGACTCGAGATTCATTACCCACTCAATAGCCAAATACGTCCAAGAGAACTAAGATGGACGAGGGCTTTGCTGTTGAATGTGTTGGAGAAGGGCTTCAAAGAGACGACCAATCTATTTTTCAAGTTAGAATCGAGCTTGTTTCATCTTACAAACGACTGAACTCACCTCTGGAGCAGCCTGGATGAATGGCAGGCGGAAAAACGGGTAAGTGCCATTTTGTAGAAGCTCTTGTAATGTGATAATTAGCCCCCACGGATGCGGGCGGTGGACAATCAGTCGTTCAAGTAGCACCCGGATGATTTGTTCCCGGATGTCAGTCCCTCCCTGCTCTGACTGGTTGGACCCGAACAACTCCAGCATCATGTTACTGAAGTAATAGGTATGACTGTTCGGGTACCGCAGTTGATTTGCTATTGAACTAAGGAAGTAATAGCGGGCTTCCGGGTTGAAGACCTCCACGAGTTTCTCCAACAAAACAGATGGAGGGATACTCCCTTCCTTCGAGCTCGGAGAGGAAACGGCGCTTTGACCAATATAGAGCACGAGGGCCTCTAGGAGAACGACGTCCACGCTGACAGGAGCAAAATAAAGACCAGTAGAATTTATTGAAGGGTTGTAGATGGCATCGCAAATCTGTTGAACAGCGGAATCTGTGGCTGAGATATTCTTCAAGGCATTATCAACGGCATTCTTCACATTAGCATTCTGGAGGGGCGCAATAATGTCTCCAGAGATTTTAGGTGCCTGTCGAATTTCGTCCAACCGGTCAACCCTTAGGCCGTCTCTGAATGGGTCGGGGAGTTTCTGAAATGACGATGGGTATGCGCTTAATACCAAATTTCGGAGTTGGCTGCAATGTGCAGGGATAACAGTGCAAAATCGGAAATGGTTCTCCGCAACGAACTCGGGGAAATCGTGATGCAATATTAGCAAAATCCGCAAAACGCCTTTGTATAGATCCTTTGCCACAAATGAAACGTTTCCTGGCTTCAATTGTTCACCAATATAGGATATCATAACTTGAACAATTTCGCAGAATGACTCCCAGCCCTGGCGATCCAATTAGTTATACGTCGTCATACCTTAAGAAATAGCAACTTACCGACTGGTCTTCCATAGTAAGCATGCCTGCCATGAACACCCGATGTGAAATTAACGATAGCCAACCATAGACGAAACCGGGGCAATGTTTAGGCTGCAAGGACAAAATTTTATCGGAGAAAACGTGCATCATTTCCTTGTGTTGCTCGGTTTGAGGAAGTCCACTCATCGCATATTCACAGAGAATGCTGGAGAAAAGCCTGAAAAAGACTCGCTGGTTGAAATTATCGCCCCGCATCACTTGATGGTGATTTAAGACCAATACTAGCAATGAAAGGATTGAGTTGAGATAGGCCGGCTTGCTTCTTTTAACCGCACCATCGCTCTCACCTTGGAATTTTACCAGCAAAATAACCAGTTTCGCTAAAGCATCAATGTATAAGAAAGCTTCATCGAGATTTCCAGTTAGGTTTTGGCATTCGTGCTCGAACATAGCCACGGAGATGTCAATACTCAGCCGGAAAAACAGAGCAGAGTCCTCCTGGTTATTCATCACTTGTCTTTGATGTAGATCCTTAAGGAACGTGCTGTGCATTTTATCGTTTGCCCCAGAAAACTTATACACTCCAATCCATTCACTGAAGATATATTCCATTTGATCCCTCTTTGTTCGGGCCTGGTCGGTAAGCAAGGTGTTGGCGGATTCCGGGATGCCGGATTCACGAAGCTTTGAAATAATATCATTAGCTATTGTGAGATTTGGATCTTCAACTAGCCACTGGTTCATTGCAGCTAAGCTTCCTGAGAAATCCGACCTTAATGCGGATGGTTCATCGTTGAAGAGTACGCGGGCCATGAGCGCCGCGAGCAACTCCAGAGCGGCAACGTTTTTCTCCTTAATCAACTTGGTAAGGATCAGATCAACACGGTGGAGATCTATCAAACTGGCGTCTATTAAAGCCACGGTCACCGGAACATTGAACATTTGTCCATCCTCGACCTCCGCAAGGACTGACCATGTGTAGCGGGCAACGAGCGATGAGAGCTCACAGATTTTCGAAAGCAAATGGACAAGGATTTCGATTTCCAGAGTTTTCTCGGCTTGCGTGTACAGAGTGCTGCAAATTTTGATCGCGGTCAGCCGAGCAAGCTCTTCACCATTAGGTGATGATAAAATCGCACGGAGAATCTGGTTGTATTCTTGTAAGATGGGGCTGTCGCGCCAAAGATCTTTGATATGCTCTTCTGGTGCTTCACGGGCTGTTTGCTGGAGGTCGGTAACAAGCTTCTCGACTTTCTCACGAGGATTCGCTGATTGCAAAAAGCCATTTAGCTGTGGTTGGGCAGTAGTAAGTGCCTGTTGCTGTACACTGGCATCCTGCTGTGTCTGTGCCATCGGATGAGGGAGAGCCGGTTGCTCTGCTGGTGTGGACAGATTAGGTATAGCGGGAAAACCTTCTTGAAGGACGTCTGGAAGTTGTTTGTTGGAGTCTGCCGAAGCATTTTGGATATGATTCTGGCCCGCTCCGCGAGATTGGTGAGCGAACTCTTCGTAGATGGCCAACTGTTCCTTATTAAGGCCTCCAGGAACTTGCCTATACGGTTCCGGAATGAAGAACCCCCAACGGCTAATGGAAGGATCAATGTATGGTTCGTTGGGACGAGCTATTCTGTGTCGGCGACGAGCTTCTAATTGGGATTCGATGACTTTCTCGATCTCCGGGAGAGATCTTTCCTCCGCAGCTTTCTCGACAATACCGCAAGCGGCATCTAGGTTGTCGTTGACGCACATAAGGATCAACCCTTCAGGCATGGGTTGTTCAGCATACTCTTGTTGGATCATGCGAATGTAATTTGTCATGTTGATCTTCAACGGCTCTTTGCATGTTACCACAGCCAAACTCCCTGCCAAAGCACGAACCATGGCACCAGCAGCATGGCGAACTTTTTCTTCATCAGGCTCCATGGCGAAGTCCTTCAGTATCAGTTGAGCAGTCGAAATTGAAGCGATCGTGATCGAACGCTCCACGACGGGAGCAATAATCTCCGCAATCGCGCGTTCCACGGCAGTATGCACAATTTGGCGAAGGACATGGGGGTCCATTACGGTATTAGCCGATGGCGGGTAAACAAGGATTTGATCAAGGTTGGGAAGGCTGGAAATAATAGCAGCTGGTGATATCCTTTCGTTACGGCTTGCTCGGTTCAAACCGGCGAGAGACATCTCATCAAAACCTTCCAGACCCTCAGCAATGCTTGTAGCAGTTAAGCTATCCTCCAGCTGGGGAGGACGCTCCCTGATGCAAGTGGAGGGCTCGATTGCTTTATGATCCAACTGTAGATCTCCGCATAACACCTCAATTTCAAATTTCAAAATCATTTTTATCTCTGCAAAATGGTATATCTCCATGAGCAACGCAATGATATCCATTAGCCATGGGTTCGGCGGCTTGAAGACGGTGGATTTCATTGCTTGCCCTAGGACCTTGCAAGTGAAAGGTATGACAACCGTAAGGCGCTGAGTATCAAACGCTTCAATGAGAAGGTCTTTGAAATAAATATTCTTGTGTCTGATTGGCTTGTCTTTTGCTATGGTTAGAGACCCAAGCCAGCCTCCGAGGTTTTTCAGATGCGCACGGTCAGTGCTGGAGTTCAAGGTAGATTCCGCATTCAGCAATCGAATCGCGCTAACGAAAGTCTCCCTTAGAACCTCAGCCCAAAGAATCTTGTCGTCGATCAAGTCCAATAGGTCTAGATAGAGCTGTTGAAAATTAGGCTGCACTTTCGCTCGCTGCTCAACAATATACGATGCAAACCATTGGTGATGTTCATCTTGAAGGACATCTTGTAGATCCTTAAGTTTGGCGTTTATATTCTGTTCTGAAACGTTGTTTAAGATAAAAAGGATTTTGTCATGAACATCTTCTTCGGGTTCCCGATAAATCTCGGGGCGCAATGGAGGGTCGACATAAAGTGAGCGGAATTTTCGAGGAACGCCGTCTGTCCCGACGAGGTCATCAACAGCGCCATTTGCGAGTGCTAACCCATCCGCCAAACCGTTGACATCTCTATCTGAATCACCGATACGGTGTCCTTGTGCACGGAGTACGTCTTCGGCTTTTCTGTAAATTGCGCTGCCTTGAAGGCTGGGAACTTGCAAAAGGAGCCCACAAAAGCCAGGCCACTCAGGAAGGCGGCTGATAAGCTGTTCAATTGCTTCGACGCCGAATTTATACACGGACTGGTGTGGCTCGTGATCCCTCACTGCATCAAGTATCATTCCAAGTCCTACTTTAAGCGGTATCCCAGATATTAAGTTAAAGTTGATAATGCCGCCGAACATGACAGCTGTTTTCGATAACGCTTCTAGCGGATATTCATGGTAACAATGATATTCATCAATTAGGCCATGAACCATGCAAGTGAAGAGATCTTGTTCGCCAGGCTCACGGGAAGATTTATAGCGCCTCATCAGCTCCAAAATCTCTCGAAGAGATAGTTCTTCGCGGTACATCTTGCCGAAAAGATCTTTCATTTGCTTGTCTACCTCCTCTGGAATAGCATTTCCATTAGCACCATTGGCGTCGATAATGTCATCAAAGCCTTCCCCGTAATTGATGAGCCGAGGATAGCTTTGTAAACATATGTGTTGAATCGGGGTGAGGTTTTCATGGTCCGTAATGTAATCCTCCAATATTAACAGAAGCGCGTAGACCGTTTTAACGGCCAGGCTAACCATCTGCGGGGCAGGCTGCTCTTTGCGCTGAACGCGGAGTTCATCTTCTGCTTTTATCCGTAAAAATTTCGAGAGCAAACCACCCATATCCACGGGAGTTTTCCGTGCCGCGCTTTTAACCCATTGTTCCAAATCAAAGGAGTCTTTCCGGTGCGCTAACGATGCTAGATCCATGGCAAGCCCGTTCGTAAAACCTAGTAGATAGTCTAACCAAGTATGCTCAACTGCATGCTCATATATTAACTCTGTGCATGAAGGGTCCTGAGTAAATGCATGAAAGAGTTGTTCGCCGACCCACTGGCGATCCAATTTCCAGGAGCCATGAAGTGCAAACTGATACCCCTCTTGACGCTTAGATAGGAAAATCATAAAGGACCTGATGACGAAGTTTATTTGGACATTTGTCCAGGGCTGTGGAATGGAGAAGGCGGAACATAGGAAAGTGGGTAAGTCATGTTGTAGGATAGTCTTCACAAAAGCTTGGCTTTCTGGTAATGCCCACGTTCCGGGAGAGAGAAGTATGAGGTCGAATATGGCTTTCACAGCATCAAGGGATCGCAGAGGATTGTTTTGAATGGATTCTGCCTGTTGACGAACCATTTCAGATGCATCGTCGAAAATATTGATAGGAAATGTTGATCGGAAATTCGGGATCTTAGAAGTATCGATATTAGAAGACAGGAACGCCGTGACGAAGGAGAATTGCGCATCTTTATTTTGCCAAGTTCCGCCCCAAAGCAGCTGGATATCAAAATTGGGATCATCGTGTGCTACCGGCAATAGAGCATTGAACAGTCGTAGGAATTGTCTTGCATCAATCCTCAGACCTTCTTTGTCAAAGAACTGGACGATCCTCTGCCAACTGATTGGATGGTTGCCTTGGTTTTGTTGAACGGTGGCGACGAGCAATTCGAGGGAGTATTGCTGCCAGTTTTGCGAATAGATGATAAAAAGTATAGTATTCGCAATTTGCTCTTCATTGTAGGCATCGGCTCCAGAGGCAGAAACAGTCTCCATTATCGCGTCTTGACTTGCCAAGGATTTTGGTCCGCGTGCCTGAATTTGTCGAACAAGTGTCAATCGAGGGTCTGAGAATGAGAACATTTGTAACGGCCCTTCAATATCGGGTGGCACATCAGCTTCGGATGCTTGAAATCGCATTCTGGCAGCGTATATAAGTTTCCGTTTGAGGTCGTCGTTCAGGTTTCTAGGGGGATTGAAGATAAAACGTTCGATGACAAGGCCGATAAAGGATGGGTTAAAGTCTTTGTTTGAGTCGGAAACAGCCGATAGGCTTTGTAGAAATTGGGGTACAGAGGTGGAGAGTATTGCATCCGCTGCAGGTTTTTTAGCATCAAGATCAGAAATTAAGCGAGGCACTACAGGAACACAAACCTTTTGTTCGTAAATCAGTCCTGCTTACATTCTTGAATGCTAGGATCAATGCAACCTTAGCAATGGGATCCAGTTTGAAATGGTCCAGGAACGTTGAGAGGTCAAAATCACGAAAAATGTCGCCTTCTGAACTGTCAATGGTTTCAGCGATCTTCCTAGCTTGGTCCATGTCCAGAGAAACTTTCTGCATTTCTTGAACCAACAAAGGGTAATTTCCAGCATTTTCGACCGCCTTATTTGTGCCTGGGAAGATCTGGGCTGCATTGCCAGAGAGAAGGCGACGGAAATACTTTGAGAACACTTCCATTCCGTTTGAGTCAACAAGCTAGAACAGATGGGTTAGCGCCATTTGAATCAGAAGTCACATGCAACCCGGAACGCTTACTTTATGGATTTGAGCAGCCTTAGTCTCCCACTTCTCTTTACCTTCTTTCTCGTTGATAGAGTCCAAAAGTAGAAACACCTGCGCTACAGAGATTTTGGAGAGAGATGATTGACTAGAGCTGACCCCAGCACTAGATGCGCCTGCTGAGTTCGGTTTATCTGACGAAAATCCAGTTGGAGAATTCACACCAGTCAGAAGTGGAGAGAACGTGGCACCCCTTGATATACCCGAACCACCTCCACCGCCGCCTCCCCCGCCGCTACCGCCTCCTCCGCTGGTTAAAGTCGCGGAGGTAGCCAGATGCGGTGCTGAGGAAGGAGTAAGAGATCTGAATTTTGGGGATGTGAGCGATTGGCCAGGTTGCTGCTGCTGCTGTTGTTGGGCGCCAGCTTGAAGCGCGGTGAAAGACGCTGGTGTGGAAGCCGGTGATGGGTTGCTTCGGCCCACGGAGAAGCGACTCGTGGAGCTCAATACAGCAGAAAAAGACGACGTCAGTGGAGATGACGCAGAGGTGCTTGGAGCTGGGCTCTGGGACTGTGGAGGACGACGGGATGGAGAGCCGCCGGTTGAGGAGGATGAGATGTTAGTCGCGAGCGGCGTGAGGCCACGACGGATGGTGTTCTGAGACGCAGCAGTCCCCCAAGGTGACTGTTGAGACCTTGCAGGCCGGGAGATGGAGGATTTGTCGGTGCCAGACGCAATCGAAGATTTGGCGGAATGAGAAGGAGAAGGGAAGGTCATCTAGGAGACGCGATCATCTGATCTGGCCGTTAAGGAGAAAAATGTGCGGATCCGGGGAGTTCTAAGGCAAAACTGGGCGTAAGATGGAGAGTTGAGCAAATTGCCGATTCCAATTGCTAACTGAATCTTGGTTGCTTGAAAGGTACGAGGGCCAGGTCAAGAGTCGGTGCCGGGTGGTTGGGCTTGAAAGGAAGATGAAGGTATGGCTGCTGCGTGGTGAAGTGGATGTGGTTTGGAGGTTTTCAATTCAGGTTAGCTGGGTTTGGGCACTACGGCTGACCTGACCGACCAACCGAGCAACAGAGCTCGGCTGCGAAAGCTCGCCTCAGCAGTGGAGGGGCTTCTCAAAAGAAATCAAAGTGTGAATCTGCTACTATAGATAACTCAGGGAATAGATACTAGATTAATAAAAGCCGCCAGACAAGTAGAGACACTGAACAGAACATGCAGATATGAAGTGCACTCTCGGTCACTGTAGTCTGCCGTGGCCTTGTCACGTGGAGATCGTGCTCAGCTGGCTGAAGAACGACTTTGTGACACCATGCCAGGGTTGATAGCGAGAGCTGGGAGGCAGACATATGCTTCCACGCAAGCATTCACTGATCTGTATAAGATTTGCACGGATTGTATAATCACCGCATGCTACTCTAACAGGATACATATAATGCTCTTACATAGGGCAAAAGCTATACCACTGTCATAAGACTCTTTTTCAGCCAAGGTTAGAATCTAGCATTAAATGTGTTGAGCTTCAAGTATTAGGAGCTGTCTATTTAGCTTCTGCACTCAATAATTGCAGCATATTTACTCCAGCATCAAATCCACTAGCAACAAGCTCAATTTGCCCCATTGATTCAAGATTGGAAAAAGCATCATTGACGAGCGGCCAGCAACCCTTTCAAGACCTGCTTTTTGGAACATTCGCATCTGTTTACTTTGTATCTTGGACAGTCCCAGTTGATAATTATCACAATCATATGGTGGTGCATGTAGTGTGTCATCATTGGAAGTAGGTCAAAATTCACGATACAACGTAGGTGTGATGAAGCAGCAACTGTCAGTTCCTAGTTTGAATTATTTCCTTCTCAGTCAGCCACAAGGAATTCATAATAGTTTGGGCAAGTAGCTTAGCAAGACTTTGAGTGCTAATGGTTGTAGATTTGTACGGAGTACCCGACGGCCATCGCTTTCGCCGATATGATGTAGCTAGCCATGGTGCAAAGTAGCCTGGCTCTAAGGCTTAGCATGATGTACCTTGCCAACAACGTTGCAGGAAGTTGATGATGGCAACGGGGTTGTTAGAAGCCAGGCGTTGGAGTTGACTTGCGAACCGAGATTCGTTCCAGAGAGGAATAGCGGGGTTGACGCTACTAAGAATAGTT